CCGAGAGCTTGCACGGGCTGAACTGGCTGATTCACAACGGCGAATCCCACATTCGTCATGTTGAGCTCAAAATTAAACAAGCGTAGCCCAAATCTTCGACTTGATTTTGATGTGCAAACGGTGCCGTGATATTATCGTGACCTTTCAGGGACGTGACTCATACCGTTAGTGTATCCCACTGCGCACTGCATGTTGTGCAGGAGGGTCACGCCGAGTCCTCGCGGGACTGTCGCGGGTGGGATAACCCCCAAGCTGACACTATTAAAGCCGAGGAGCACACTCGCTGATCATGCATGCAAACACTGCACGGCGTCTTGGACCCGCCCGCCAATGACCACAACAACTCCCCCTCTCGCCCCTCCTCGCCCGCTGACCCCCGCGTCGACCTCCCCGGTGGCGGCCATGTGACACCCTGGTGACATGTCGCCCCTGTCCAGGGCGTCCTGGGGGCGCTTATCTGGGGGGTCGGCCGGGGGGGGGGGAGACATTTTACTGCGGCTCGCATTTGTATCGGGTAGCGGCCCGTGTGTGCGGTTAGTGGTGCAGGCGCAGCGAGACGAGACAGGCGACATGAACCGTAGTGGACCGACCCTCACCGCCAGGGTGAGTCCCGGGTCCAGGGCACTGCCGGGGGGTCGTCGTGGCTGCAGTGAGGTGAGGAGTGGCCGTCTTCTGGGTAACCTCTCTAACGCCCGTGTGTGTCCTTGCTCACAGCGCGGGGCCAACGCCGGTGCCGCCGCCCCCGCCGCCGCCACTGCCCCTGCCGCTGCCCCGGGGCCAACGCCGGTGCCGCCGCCCCCGGCACGGCAGCAGCCGCCCCCGCCGCGGCCCCCGCCGCCCCCGGCAATGACGAGGAGCTGCAGCGGCTGCGCCGCCGCGAAGCCGAGCTGGAGCAGCGCGTCAAGGAGCTGGAGGAGGCCGCGGCCGTGCTGGCCAAGCAGGGGCCCGTCCCCCCACCGGCAGCAGTGGCGGTGGCAGCGCCCTCCAAGGACCTCGAGGAGACCATCGCCAAGCTGGAGAGGGAGCTGCAGGTGAGTGAGCGGGAGCGACGTGCAGCAAACGGCGCAGCGCATGAGCAATGGTAACCGTGATCCACTCCCTCCTCGTCCCTGCAGCTCCGCACAGAGGAACGCGAGAACTACAAAAACCACCTGCAGCAGCTCGAGAAGGAGCTGGCGACCGCCAAGCAGGCCCTGAAGGACGCTGACGCCAAACGTGAGTGTTGCTGCGAGGGGCTCGTGGAGCCCTCCCTGTAGTGCATCATGACACTGACCACCCTCATGTTGCGGTAGGTGTCGATCTCGCCGCTCAGCTGGCCACTGCCAACGACAAGAAGAAGGAAAGAGAGGAGCTGACGGCCAAGCAGGAGCAGCAGATCGCGGCCCTTCAGAACCAGGTAAGCATCTTCCACATAGATAAGATCATTTATTTACAGTTCAGGGCACTTATAAAAATAATTGACGGTCGTCATGGCGCATCAACTGTGTGTCCAATGGATTTTTAAGTAGCACAGCACAGGATTAGGGTTTACTTTTGCGTGACAGTGGGCCAAGCTGAAAGCAGCAGCTGTTCGCGACAGGCTTGCCGTGCTCGGGACGTTTTGGTCATCATCCCCTTAGCAAAATATGTACAATTTTAACGAGGATAACGCTGATTTTAAATCACGTCCAGACTCACTAGAAAATCTCACTCGTCAGAATCCAATTTCTTCCGTCGGCGGCGACATTGCAGAAAGGGAGTTGAACCTTTCGCCGACGCTGTAGAAGCTGACGCGTGGAGTGTCGGTGTCAGGCCTGCTTAGCTGGCCGTAGTGGAGAAAACTATGCCGTCAGCTGGGCTGCCGACTGCTCGCCCTCCGCGCCCACCGTCAACCCGTCGTCCCAGCGTCGTCCCAGTCCGTGCTCCAGTACTTCTGGTAGATATCCAGGCTCAGGGCGCAGAGTTTAGCACAGGATGGCATAAACTGGAGGTCTTTCGTCAGCCACCTTTGGAACCCCTTCCAGTCCATGCCGCTGTCGGTGTACACGCCTAGAAGGTCCTTCGTCTGAAAAAGATATAGTCATTTAAATTGATTTGGTCAAGCAACGTCTCCCCAACCGAGTCACCCGGTCTCACCTTCATGAGTCGCTCTTGTCCAGAGTTGCGCTTCCAGAAGTTCTGCAGGTTGACGTTTACCTTCCTGCCGATGCCAGGCACCCTACGGACGCTCTTGTCATGTCGCGGACGCCGCACGAAGCGCTCCACCAGCAGCCCAATTTGCTCGTTGAAGTTCTCCCGGACGATCCTGAGAAGCCACTGCCGCCGGTTAGCCCTGCCCTCGGCGACGCTGAGTCCTTTCGTGTCCGCTAGCTTTGAAGTGGGCTCGGCCGCCTTTGGCGATGCGGGCTCCTTCTCAATATCCACCTTGAGGCTGGAGTCGTCCTCATCAGAGCTCGCTCCCGCAGAACCAGCCGCGCTGTCCTCCTCCTCCGCGGGCAGCACGGTGAGGGGTGTGGCGGGCGCGGAGAGGCTGGCGCTGGGTTGTGAGGGGCCCCTCTGCTCCAACTCCTCCGGTCTCAGGACTCGCAGGACTTGGGACCTGAGGAGTGGCGCGGGCTCCAGATGGGCGTCTCGCAGGCTCGGGGGGGATGCGCCGTGGGCGTGCGGGGGCTCGAGCGGGGCGCCGTGCGGCCCCCCGCGCCCGCGGCCCGCCTGCTCACTGAAGAGCGCCAGGGCGGCGGGCGCAGCTGGCGCAGCGGGAGCAGAGCTGGGCCGCAGCCCATACAGCAGCTCGGCCTGGGCGCCGCCCGCGCCGCCTCTGGGTGCCATGGGGTAGCCGCCACCGCCCCCGGCCGGGTGGAAGGCGGAGGCGTGTGCACGCAGCGCGGGGCCGCCGTAGGGCAGCCGGCCCGCGGGCAGCCCTCGCAGCCGGCACGGCGCGGGCTCCAGGAGCAGCCTGCGGGTGTTCGGCATCCACGTCGATGGCGGCTCCATTGCCCTGGCGCGCACCTCCGCGCCGGCCAGCGGGTGGTGGCCCCTGAGGGGCGCCAGGGGGGCTGTCCAGGCGTGGGCGGGAGGCGGCGTGGGGGTGGGCGTGGCGCCGGGCGCAGCGCTGGGTGCGGCGCCGGGCGGAGAGGGCGGCCGCTCCAGGGAGTAGGCCCTCTGCAGTGGGGCGCGACGAAGCGGGCCACCGGGGCGGCGGCCATCCTGCAAAAGCGGCCCCGTCGTTATGCCCTGTGACGCACCACCTCAAGCCCACAGATAGCGAGCATATCTCTGGTAGTCGTCCCGCACTGCGGCGATACCCCTCTCTCCGAGGCCGACGGCGGGGGCCTCCCCCAGCGCGGGGTATCCCTGGCGGACTTCTCCTGTCCTTGCGGTGCGGACTCACCTGGTGGTTGTGCTGGGGCGGGATCCACTGCAGGGCCTCGCAGGAGCAGCCGCTCACCCGGGTGGCCTCCAGCCTCAGGTGGACGGGGTGGTGCACATGGCCGTAGCCATGGCGACGACCCTGGCGCGGGCACACGATCACGGACCACCCGCGCCTCTCGGGCCGCGGAGCCGCGCCGACACCACCCTCCAGGGGGTGTCGACGGTATGCCTGAGAGGCGGAATGGCAGTTAGGTTAAGTATTGTGAAGCCTGCATGCACCGCAGCGGGTAGGAAGGGCATCGCGCCCGGAAGAAGGGGGTCCCCTGATAGCGGGTTGAATTTTGAGGGGTCGGCAAGAGTACGCCGAGTGCGCACGATCCTGCGGGCCATCAGCAGCTGATTGCACACGGCCGACATCAAGGGGGCGGGGAGAGGGTCAGGGGTTGGTCGGGGTGGCGCGGTACTCACAGACATTGGGCTGCGGGAGGTGCGGCGGGGAGGGATGAAGAAGAGGAGACGAGTTACGCGTGGCTCCGACTGCTCCGTCACTTGACAACTGGCTAAACACGCCCGATAAGGTTTGAGCGGAGCATGAGTCGAGGAGCCAGCCCCGGGCTGAGCCCGCCGCGGCGGGGCGGGCCTGAAGGCGGGCCGTTGGGCCGTGCGCTACCGCCCGGCCGGCCGGCGTGGCCGCCACACCGCCACCGCACCTTGCTCTAGCAGCACGCCCTGGTCCCTCGGGCCCGGCAGGGCAGGCTCGTGCTCCCACCACCAGGGGGTTCTTGGGCATCGAGGGATAGAGGAGAGGCAACGAGGTGCTTCGAGCCGCCTGCGCAGCTCCTCCCCCTCCACCGAGCGCCGCGCCGCTCCATGCGCACTTACGTGGCTCTCGCGTGTTATCTCGGCGGCCCCGTGCCCCCAGACAGCTGACGAGCGGCCCGCGGCCCGCGGGAAGGACCCCGCGCGGGGCTCTCCCGCCGCGCTGGCCGCCCCGGTCGCCCCTGGCCCGCCCTCCTCACACTAGCACGGCGCCAAGT